TGAGTTCAAGCCCCATGTTGGGTGGAGATGACTTAAAAATAAAATCTTTAAACAATACATTTTCCTGTGTTGTCAGATAATCTACAATATAATTTTAATGACTAGTTCATAGTTTTAAAGGAGGATAGCTATATGAAGGACAATACCATTTGCATTTAGGTAAGCTCTCCAAAACCACTCAAAAGCTCCATATGCGCTGTTCAAGGATGAGGGCACAAGAGGTAAAAGTAATGACATGAACTGGAAAAATACACTAGCATAATAAACCTGGGGAGCATACCCCTGGAGAGGAAGGAAGGGGTTCCAGAGAGAGCTTCAAACACAAACTTTACATTTCTATGCATCAAAAATGCCCGGGTTACATTTTATTAAATCTGGGTGGCAAATAGAGGAAATTTTATTTTATTTTTTTTTTTTTTAGGAAATTTATTATACGAGCCTCTGAGCTGTCCTTTGTTTGAGCTACTTCACACAGAAACAAGAAATAACATGCAGATGGAAGGAAGTATTTTAAATGCCCTGAATACAAGATTCAAGAATTAAACTGGCATTTGCAAATGATTTTGTGATGAAAATTCACTACTGATAATGATGAGGATTTGCCACTTGTCAGGATTTGCTCTGTGCCCTTCTGCACGTGACAGATGACTGTAAACATCCCAGGGGCACAGATAACAATGCCTGCCACAGGCGGAAACTGCCGGAAGTCCTTCTGTATTAGCCACAATGCCTCCCGACAATGCCTCCCCCGGCAAAGCCCACCAGGAACACACCTGTGGCTCAGCACAGCGGTTTATCACCCCGGCAGCCAGAGAAAACACACAACATTGCAAACCATGGGATGGTGCAGTAAGAGGGTGCTAGAAAGGACTTATCACAGGGTTTAGGCTTAGGTTTGGGAATACTGCGGAAGGCTTGAGAGCCAGGCTTTGCTTGGGATTTTGGGTGCTGCCTCGAAGCTGGAGCAATTCTGTGATGGCCCATCTCATCTACAGGAATGGGAGGCTGTGAATAACAAAGCAGCAGCCCTCACTCCCAACCAGCTGGGAGAGGGATGGGTTGATCTTTGCTGTGATTCCAGGAGTCTGCCTTCTAATAAGGGGGTACAGAATGTTTTGTGTCCGTCCTGATCCATGAGGATCAAAGGGTGGCTTCTCCTGGTGTTGACAGCCTGTTAAAGAGTGTTTATGCTCGAAAGGAGAACATTTCTGCCCAGCTGTGCCCAGGCGGGTTCCCCAATGTCAGAAGCTCCCTTTCTGCTTCTTACTCATTTAATCACCACCACGACCTAAGAGGCAGGTATTAGTTACCGTGAAGCCCATGGTACAGTTGAAACACGGTCAGAGAGGTCAAGTCACTTGCCCAAAGTCACACGGCTAACAGGTGGCAGTGGTGGGGTTTGATTTCCATCAGCCTGGTTCCAAAATCCAGGTTCTCACCCACCCCGACAAGCTGCCCATCACTCAGCGTGTCAGGGTTTGGGTCTGAGCAGCACTCACCGCTGCCTGTCTCTTAGCCTCTGCTGGGTCTTGACCTAGACTTTAATCAGGCTTTTGTCATTCCCACAGGACCCTGAACTTGTCCCCAGCCCAGACTATCAGCTTCCCCTGGGCATCGGCGAACACAGCCAGACTTCACTGCCCACCGCCCCAGAAAAGGTTCTGCTCATCTCTGCGTCCCCCGCCTTTTAAAGCTCTTTCTGTCTAATTCTGAGACGCCTGCAGATTTCTGAGATTTCTGCAGTGACCTCTCTTCCGCATGAGGTCTCTCCCTGTGTCCGGACAGGTACACAACAGCAACAGGGATTCGCGAGGGCCAGCGCCTGCAGCACGCCGGCCCCGCAACGCCTCCGGGCCTCCCCGAGGGAGGGACAGCGACTCACCCGCCCTGGCGCAGGGCCCCCGGGGCCGGCGCGCCCGCGAAGCCCCGCCTGGAGGGAGCCTTGGGGGTCCCGGGCTCCTGGGACAGTCCCCGCGGCCCACTAGCCTCCAGAGCCTCCTCCGCGGGGTCGCACCGGGGCTCGCCGCCAAAAAGACCCGTCCTGCTGCCCTGAGAGCCCCGCCCCACCCTTCGATCGCCCTCTGCCCGTACCGCCGGGCCGAGCCCGGGGCCGCTGGACACCGGGACCACCAGCAGCCCCTGCCCCCCGCGGACAGGAACTTCCGCTTCCGGCTCCGGGGCCGGAAGCGGTGAGGCTTTCCGGGCTCGGGATAGGTGGAACCTCAGAGCTGGGAGGGGCGGGCCGCGTCTTCCAATCACCGGGCGGAAACACTCTAGTCCCCGCCCACCAGGGGGCACCTTTGGGCTCAAGCCCGAATCCGGACATCTAGGGCGTGTCTGGGGAGAAAAAACGGCCTGCGGGCGTGGCTAGAACATGTTCTATGGGCGTGGCTTGTGGCATGGCTCCTCCTCTGGGCGTGGTCTCTTGGTGTTAGGTGATGGCCTTTAGAATTTTTTTTTTTTAAGATTTTATTTATTTATTTGACAGAGAGAGAGCACAAGCAGGGGGCGCAGCAGAGGGAGAGGGAGAAGCAGGCTCCCCGCTGAGCAGGGATCCCGACGTGGGGCTCGATCCCAAGACCCTGGGATCATGACCCGAGCTGCAGGCAGACGTTTAACCAAATGAGCCACCCAGGCGCCCCTTAGAATTTTTCCTATGGCCTTTTAATTTTCTTAAATGAAAGTGGGATCATTTCATACACACTATTTCTGCAATTAACTTTTCTTTTTTTTTTAAGATTTTATTTATTTATTTGAGAGAAAGAATGAGAGAGAGAGAGAACACATGAGACGGGGGAGGGTCAGAGGGAGAAGGAGACTCCCCGCCGAGCAGGGAGCCCGATGCGGGACTCGATCCCGGGACTCCGGGATCATGACCTGAGCCGAAGGCAGTTGCCCAACCAACTGAGCCACCCAGGCGCCCTGCAATTAACTTTTCTTAATAAAGAGTACAATATGATAATCTGTCCAAACCAACACAGAGGTATCCCTTTAGAGTTAATGGATTTTTTGTGGCAATCCATTGTCAATAAAAAGTCCCTCTCAGGGGCGCCTGGGTGGCTCAGTCCTTAAGCGTCTGCCTTCGGCTCAGGTCATGATCCCAGGGTCCTGGGATCGAGCCCCACATCGGGCTCCCTGCTCCGCGGGAAGCCTGCTTCTCCCTCTCCCACTCCCCCTGCTTGTGTTCCCTCTCTCGCTGTGTCTCTCTCCATCAAATAAATAAATAAAATCTTTAAAAAAAAAAAAGTCCCTCTCAATGCAAATACCTGGTTCCGCAGAACCCTTCCTAAAGACACTATTACCAGCACTTCGTGTAACCTTCCAAAGATGTTCTGTGTATGAACAAGCAAAAATGAATATACTTATTCCCCTAAAAACACTTGGCCCTTGAGCAACATGGGGGTTAGGGGCTCTGATGTCCCACACAGTTGAAAATCTGTGTGTCACTTTTGACTCCCCCCAAATTTAACTAATAATCGCCCACTGTTGACCAGAAACCTTACTGTAACACAGACAATTAACACGTATTTAGTATGCTATATGTATTATACACCATATTCTTACAATAAAGTAAGCTAGAGAAAAAAATATTAAGAAATATCGTAAGGAAAATACATTTACACTTTGGCACTGTGTTTATTTAAAAAATCTGCATATAAGTGGACCTGCACAGTTCAAGCCCATGTTGTTCAAGGGTCAACTGTGCTCATCAAGCATCTTCTATGACCCAGACTGTTCTCTGCACTGAAGGATAGAGTAAATGACCACAAAAATCCCTGCCTTCATCCTTCTTAGATTCCCGTGGAGAGCAACAACAACAAAAAACCCATATTAATAAAAAGCATATGTAATAAATATAATATATCCAGGGGCGCCTGGGTGGCTCAGTCGTTAAGCGTCTGCCTTCGGCTCGGGTCATGATCCCGGGGTCCTGGGATCGAGCCCCGCATCGGGCTCCCTGCTCGGCGGGAAGCCTGCTTCTCCCTCTCCCTCTCCCACTCCCCCTTCTTGTGTTCCCTATCTGTCAAATAAATAAATAAAATCTTTAAAAAAATATATAATATATCCCAATGTGAACGGGGAGTGACTGTGAGTGCCCGTCCCTTCTGCTGCCTCCCTCAAGCTCTGAACAGCTGTTAGAGTCCCATCACTCCCAGGGAAGCCCCTACCCTGTCCCCCTGCCCCTACACACTCCCAACACTCCCCACTTCCCCGTCTGGGGACCAGCCCCAGCCTCTTCCAGGTTCTAGGCAGGATGCTTCTGGTGCCAGGGGCTGGCCCAAGGTGCTGAAGGAGAGGCTGGGGCAGGCCTGGGGATATGCTTACATATTCAAGAAAGTGAAGACAATCCACAGCCTAGGAGAAAATATTTGCAAATTACATCCCTGACAAGGGAATTATATCTAGAATACATAAAGAACTCCCACAACTCAATAAGAGGATAAGTCATCCAATAAAAAAAGGCAAAGGATGTGAACATTTCTCCCAGGAAGATATCCAGAGGGCCAATTAGCACATGAAAAGATGCTGAACATCATCAGTCACCAGGAAAATGCAAATCAAAACCACAAGGAGGGGGCACCTGGGTGGCTCACTTGGTTGGGCCTCTGCCTTTGGCTCAGGTCATGATCTCTGGGTCCTGGGATCAAGCCCCGAGTCAGGTTCCCCGCTCAAAGGGGAGTTGGCTTCTCCCTCTCCCTCTGTGATCTCTCTCACTCTCTCAAATAAATAAAATATTAAACACACACACACACACACACACACACACAGGAGATAACACTTTGCACTTGCTAGGATGGTTACAATCAAAAAGACAGACAGTAACAAGTGTCTACAATGATGTGGAAAATCAGAATCTTCATTCACTGCTATTGGGGATGTAAAATAGTATAGCTGCTGTGGGAAACAGTCTGGCGGCTCCTCACATGATGAAACATAGAGTTTCCATATGACCCAGCCATTCTACTCTCAGGATTGCTGGAAAACACAATTTATCTGAGTAAGTTTTAAAGATCTTATTGGCTTTATTTAATGACTCATGAATGGGGCAACATGTCATCTTAGCAAACAGAAAGGAGCTCCGGAGAGCTGTGCAAAATGGAAGGTTTTCATAGACAGAGGGAGAGAGACACAAGGAGGTCATTAGCAGAGTGGACTGGTTTCAGGCGAGGTCACCTTTCGGGGACACAAGGGGTCCATCAGCTGCCTGGCGGAGCTTACATTCCTGGGAGAGGCTGAACTGCAGTTTGGTCAGCTGTTAATCCTCTGTTTGGTGACATGGCCTTGCCACAAGTGACTCCGTTTTAGTCCTACTGTCTCTTTAACAGCATCTAACAAAAGAACTGAAAAAGTTTCAAAAGGATACTTGTACACAAATGTTCACAGTAGCATTACTCACAATGGCCCAAATGTCCACTGGCAGCTGAATGTATGAACAAAATATGGCCCAACCACGCCCTGGAATATCCCCTGTCATTCAGTCTTAAAAAGATATAAAGCACTGGGCGCCTGGGTGGCTCAGTTGGTTAAGCGACTGCCTTCGGCTCAGGTCATGATCCCGGAGTCCCAGGATGGAGTCCCACATCTGGCTCCCTGCTCAGCAGGGAGTCTGCTTCTCCCTCTGACCCTACCCACTCTTGTGCTCTCTCTCACTTTCTCTCAAATAATTAAAAAAAAAAAAGATATAAAGCACTGATATACACTACTATGTGGATGAACCTTGAAAACTTCATGAAAAAAGCCCATCACAAGAGATCACATATTGTATGACTCTATTCATATGAAATATCCCAAACAGGGAAATCTCTAGACAGAAAATAGATGAGTGGTTGCTTAGGGCTGGGGGTGGGGGACAGGGAGACAGTATGGTGGTAGCTAAAGGGTACAGAGCTTCTTTTGGAAGTGATGAAAATATTCCAGAATTGTAGTCATGGTTGTACAATTCTGTGGATGCTAAAAGCCACCAAATTTTACACTTTATATTTCAGTAAAGCCATTAAAAAAAAAAACCACACAACACTGAACTCTAAAATACAATTTTTTGAAATGGCCTCATGTTGCTACCACGCGGGACAGCACACACTACTGAAAGAAACACCACAAAAATCACAGCTTGAGGGGAACAGAGAATTGCAAGAATGAATTCTGAGAAATAACTGGAAGAAAATAAATGTGCATAAAAATGACAGAAGAATCAAATCTTCTTGAGAAGGGAGTTCTGCAAAACCCAGCCAGGGAATCTTGCCATAGAAGGCAGCTTCAAAAGAGACAGGGGTTTCAGTGAATAATTTGAATAGCCACACGATTGACAACTGAGTCAACCCTTGCAGGTGACCATGAACTCCAGAGTTATGGTACTTCCACGTCTTGGCCAACATTGGGTAAAAACAGCTCTTCTCAGGCCCTGCAGGCTGCTCCAGGACAATCTTATTGCAATGAAATTTAAATTAAATTTCATTGCAATTTAAAATACCCACTAATTGTCTCCTTGGGCTTAAAGGACATAGGATTGTATGTGCGGAGCCCTGAAAACCCATACAAGCAATTGGAGGTTTTGGTGCCTTTTTAGGGGCTCGACTAAGTGACTAGGGACTGGTGTGGAAGGAGCCTTGCTTTTCACAGGCACCAACTGGGACCGTACTTTGCCCCATTGTTCTCCAGGAGAATATGCTCACACAGCTGCACAAGTCATGTAAGTGTTCCAGAGAAATCGAGATTTGTAAACATGCAGCTCCCAAATACAGCAGCCAAACCGTGCAGTTCCTCCCCTGGACCCCTTCCACAGCTGCCCGCAGGATTCCGGAGCAAGGATGGGCGGTATGTGCAAAAGTAAAACACTGACAAAACAGACTAAAACACCACCACCAATAAAACTGTTAAATAAGTCACGGTATGTACAGGGCAGCGGTAAGGACGTAATCACACCTCCGTATAAAGCTGGTACTCAACCAAGTGTGAGTTTGCCCCTCAGGGACACTGGCAACATCTGAGACATTTCTGGTTGTCACCAGTGGGATGGCTCCTAGCATCTGGGCCAGGGAGGCAGTGAGTTTGAGAAACCCTGATGTATAATCAACACTAAATCTGATGGACATTAGGAGGGAGCCCGACGCAGGGCTTGATCCCAGGACCCTGGGACTAGCACCTGAGCCGAAGGCAGACGCTTAACGACTGAGCCACCCCGGCGCCCCTATCAGTGCTGTTTTTAGTTTATTTTTTACGTATTGTTTTGTGTACTGTTTATCTGTACAAACATTTGTAGCAAATATGGGTACATGTTAAAATTATCACCTCTGTACTTTTGTTTGAAAATTATTTCGTGAAAAAGAAATAGTCTAGCTGCCTCGTTGAGATTAAGGAAATAACCTGGACCTGAGGAAATTAACCTGGATCTGGAAAACCATTTCTCCATGAAAATTCATCAGTAATAGAGTCATATTAGTAACAATGATATATGCCTGGTGAACGTCTGTCTACTCCATGCAAACACAGCATCTCAGGGTGGGCACATTAAACACTGGGGGCGCCGACCTGCTCACCGGAGGGTGCTGAGCTGCATCTCCAGCTTCCAACCACCCAAGGCGAGCAGCAATACCCCACTAACCCAGGTGTCACCACCACTGTATCTTCCAACATTGTCAAATGTTACCTGGGGATAAAAGCGTCCTCAGGGTGGGAATCCCTGGTCTCATTTTACCCATTATTTGGGTCAAAGCCCACGGTCATAGCCACTTGTCATTCTGCTACGTAGAGTCAGGGGTCTAAGACTTGAATGTGAGGATGCCCATGATGATGAGCTGACATTATTAACAATAACCAACACTTTGCACAGCACTCGTTAACCTGCCCAGTGCAGGTACCGTTATGTACTCTCATTTCACAGATGTGCAATCTGAGGCTCTGAAGGGCTCGACAAATTGCGTGACATCATCGGCTTGGGGCCAGGATGGAGCCCAAGGCTGGCGCCCAGCCGAGCACAACGTCTCAGTGCCATGGATACGAACGATAGGAAAAATCAGCTGAGAAAGGTTAAGTCCCTGCCCTGACATTCAGAGGCCGGAGAGGACAGAGGCAGTAAAGCCAGCTGCAAAATTAGCAGGAAACCTTTCTCCGGTTGGAGCCATCCCGCCCCTTCGAACTCGCCGGACACTCTGTCCGTTAAGAAGGAAGCGTCCGTCTCTTGCGGGGACGGTCCGATTCCCTTGGACACCGGGGAACCGGGCTGCATTTCCCACCACGTGCGGAGGCTCAGATAAGGGGTCTCCGGACACAACAACCCACATCTCTGTCTTTGTGGTTTCCAAGGAAATGGGACCTGGGTCCACAGCGCAGCCCATTCGCGACGCTGCCCCTCTGCACGCGGCCCTGCGCTGCTCCGAGCCCACGGGAGCCAGGCGGCATTTACCCCGCACCCACACCGGCCCTTCCTCCAGCCGGGGCTCGGCCGGGCCCCAGCGTCCCGGCGGTCGGGGGGCGCCCCGCCCCAGGGGCCTCCACGCAGGCTGGACCCCGCCCTTTGACCCAGCCCCGGCGTCCAGCGGAGACGGGGCCGGGCCCCGCAGCGGACACTGAATCGCCCAGGCCCAGGAAAGGCAAACGTCCGCAGAGACGAACCACCGCGCCGCCGCCGGCAGAAGCCGGATCGGCGCTTTCGCTTCCGGTTCCGGGGCTGCCGGGAGCGGAAAAGAAGGCAAGCCTGGGTCTCTGGATTGGTGGAGCCTCAACGATGGGAGGGGCGAGCCTCATTCTCCAATCGGCGAGCAGATAGACGCTAGTTCCCCCCGCCCTCTGGAGAGCGATTGGGTCCAGTCCCCGGATCCACCGCCTTAGGGCCTGTCTGAAGCCCGAATGGCACTATGGGCGTGGTTGAGACTGGAACCGCCCCTAGGGCGTGGCTAGAGGCCGAACGAGGCCCAGGGGTGTGGTTGGGGGCGTGGCCACTGAGCAAGCCCTGAGCCCCCCGTTACACTGGCAATAAGTGCTTATTTCCCCGACACTTTCCGCCTGCAAACACACTCCCGTGAAAACATATTCACATCATCGGAATGTTTCTCCCTGGAATGTCTTTCATTTCTTCCAGAAATGGGGTCATTTTGTGCGGTTCTCTACATGCTGTTTTTCCTCCTCTAGTGGGTGTGGTATCCTGTCCTGGCCACTGGATGGCGACCTAGTTCACATTTTCACGTTCGTGCGCCTTCGGTTGCACCGCGTAGGTGAGGAAAAATGCCTGTGGATTCCTCCAATACATACTCAGGAGGCATCTTATATCCCAGGCTCGGTTCTCTGCACTGGGGTATATGGCAGTAAATGAACACAGTAATTGCCCTCATCCTTCTTAGATTGCAGTTGGGAGGGACAAAAACATTAGCCATGTTAATAAATGGCTTATATAATAAATATAATATATCCCAGTGTGGACGGGGGAGTGACTGCTCCCCACCCCAGGCCCTGCACAGCTGTTTGAGTCCCATCACTCCCAGGGAAGCCCCCTCCCTACCCCACACACTCCCCACACCCCCCACTTCCCTGTCTGCGGACCGGCCCCACCCTTCGCAGGTTCCAGGCTGGATGCTTCTGCTGGGGGTGGGGGGCTGGCCCAGGGTGCCTGGGGACTCTGTGGGAAGCTCCTGGTTATGAGCTGACATCTCCGGCACCTGCAGAAGCTCAGATGTGCTACGAATGGGGGCTGGGATGTACTGGGACAGCTGGTTACAATTACATTAAATCAACAGGCTCAATTTAAGGCTAATTGAAAATTCTTACAGATCTTTCTTTTAAGAACATGCCTGTCTATTCACAATCAGTGAGTTCATCATAATATAGTGTACGCAAATCAGTTTTGAGCCAATCGTAGACCTGAGAGTAGGAGCTGAAACTCTAAACATCTCGAAGAAAACCCAGGAGAAATATCTTTGTGACCTTGGGCCAGGCAAATATTTCTTAGTACGCAAAATGTGACAAATACAAAGAAACGATCGAGTGGGTCATTAAATATTATTTAAATATTATTTAAATATTTGCTCTTTGAAAGCTACTTTGACGCAAACAAGGAGGCAAGCGACAACAAGGAGAAAATATTTGCGAATATTGCGAAACATATCCTGACAAAGCGTTTCTAGAATATATAATTATTTCAAGGGAGAAAAAGCATGACCACAAGAGGGCGCCCCTCATTCTCAAAAACCAGTTCGCTGAAGTATTTCAGGATAAACGGGCACAGAATGCAATTTACTCTGAGTTAAGAGAAGGAATACACAATTTGTATGTGTGTATACACACACACATATGCACACACATACACGCGCGCGCACAGACGTGCGCATGCGCACACATACGCACATGCACAGACACGTGCACATGCGCACACAGACACGTACACATATGCACACATACGCGCGCGCGCACACAGACACATGCATATATGCACACATACGCACATGCACAGACACGTGCACATGCGCACAGACACGTGCACATATGCACACATACGCGCCTGCAGACACGTGCACATGCGCACACATACGCACATGCACACAGACACGTGCACATGCGCACAGACACGTGCACATATGCACACATACGCACATGCACACACAGACACGTGCACATGAGCAGACACGTGCACATATGCACACATATGGGTGCGCACAGACACGTGCACATGCGCACACAGACATGTACACATATGCACACATACGCGTGCGCAGACACGTGCACTAATGCATACATACGCGCGCGCGCACAAACACGTGCACATGCGCACACATACGCACATGCACACAGACACGTGCACATGCGCACACAGACACGTACACACATGCACACATACACGCGCGCACAGGCACGCAAATATATGCACACATACGCACATGCGCACAGACACATGCACCTGCGCACACAGACACGTGCACGTGCGCACACAGACATGTACACACACACACCACACACACACATACATGAGTTCTTAGTACTATTCTTGCATAAGTTTGAAATGATATCAAAATAAAAAGCTACCCAAAACTAGTCTCCTTGCTTGTACTATCAAATATGTAGATAGCCAGGGAATGATCAAAGAACAACGGGTGAGCGATTCTAATAGTCTGCAACCGTTTCCTTTCATTCTTTTGCCTGTATCTTTGGCTTTATTGCTGTTTTTCAAGAACATACCAGGTAAGATCATTCCTTCCAAGAATTTTAGAATGGCTTCTTTGCAGTTGAAAACAGTGGGTCCCAAACGAAGCCATTTCCCTGAATCACCTGGACCCATTCCTTTTTGTTCTTCATCCCGAATTTTATCCTCACCTTTATTTCTGTAAAGCTAATTGGACAATAACAAGATCACTGCTTGGAAGCTGCAGCCCAAGGATTCTTCCATTTAGCCTCTCATGGTATTGGCACATCCACTGCGACGCTATTTTCCCATGTTCCTGTTAGTCTTTTTTTTTAATTGAAATTTTTACTGGGAGAATGGCGATTCACCTGCAGTTGTAAGAAAGTGCAGAGAGATCCCGGCTATATTTTGCTCACATTTTGCTAGTGGTAACATTTTGCAAAAGTAAAGTTCAATATCACAACCACAAGGATCTCCCATAATACCTTTTTATACTCACGCCCATCTCCCTCCTGGCTCTCAGGCCACCCTATCCCACCAGGAAGCTTTCTTAAAAGATGCTCACTCTCCAAAGAATCCCTAATTTCTGCTCCCCCACCTGCTGGGCTGGGGCTCAGAAATCTGCATGTTTACAACGAAGATCCCAGGGCTGGGACAGGAGAGGAACAGGAGCCTGGACCATCCAGTTCTGCCTGCAAGCCAGGAGGCACTCGAAAGAATGCTGCAGCGTGTCAGAAAAGCAGAGAAGTCAGCTTGAAATCTGGCCAAATCTTAGACAATAGGACCATCCAAATAATGAAGGAGAACGATGAATTATAAGCCATTAAAAAAAATGGGACTCTATGTGTCCACACCAATAATAACTAGATTCACAGGAGAAAAGGGAAGGCTCTCATGTACAGCCAAATACCAAGGGCCCAGTGGCAAATGTGGGGGCGTGCTCGGGGTACAAAGACTGCTTCAGGCAAGAAACATCCACCATAATAGCTTCTGGAATGGTTTCCAATGATTCTTGCCTCCAAGTGTCTAAATTAATCTACTGTTGTCCAACAGTGAAATTGGTGTGAAAACAAGATAAGGGGACTATAAGGTGCCTCCTCAGGCAGAGGTAGGGTGCAGTTTCATGTGGGTGGGGGTCAGGGAAGGCCACTCTGAGGAGGTGACATTGAGCTAAAATAGGAAGTACTTGAGGGAGTGAGTCACAATGCAGTCAAGAAGAGAGTTCTAGATGGGCAGACAGCCCATGCAAAGGTCCTGTGGTAGCCTGTGAGGAACAGCAGAAGGTCCATGTGAATGGAGTGAAGGGACTGTAACCCGGGATTAATCAGAAGGGTGGTAAAGACCCTGCAGGGCTTTCAAAAGCCCTCTGAAGACTTTGGCTCTGAGTCCAAGGGAGAGCTGTGGGAGGAGACTGGGCAGGGGAGGGGCAGGATTCCACTCAATGTTTAAAAGACTGTCCGGTGCTTTATTAGGAATATACTGTAAGGAGGGGAGCCTGGGTGGCTCAGTCAGTTAAGCGTCTGCCTTCAGCTCAGGTCATGGTCCTGGGGTCCTGGGATCGAGCCCCACATCGGGCTCCCTGCTCGGCAGGAAGCCTGCTTCTCCCTCTCCCACGCCCCCTGCTTGTGTTCCCTCTCTCGCTGGGTCTCTCTCTGTCAAATAAACAAATAAAATATTTTTAAACTGTCAATAGAGAGTAATAATGGAAAGATGGATAAACAGAGAGACCCCCGAAGGGAGAGGTCCTCACCCACCACAAGGACCCACGGGGCTGGGGCATCCCAGACCCATCAGACTCTGAGCCTGGCGTCCAATCTGAGGATGGGCAGAAATGAAGCTCAAACTCAGGCTTGGAGCAGGAGAGGCTGGAGCCGGATGAGGGCCAGCTGGCCACCAGAAGACCCTTCTGAGAAGGAAGACGTTCCTCCCACAGGGAATCCCCTCATTTAGAGGTTTTCCCACTGAGAGCATGTGGAGCAACTCCGGACCTCAGACACAGCCGGTGGGAATGCAAGACAGTGTCCCCACTTTGGGGAAAAGCCTGGAACCTCCAGAAAAAGGTAGACAGGTTCTCATATCTCCCCAAGAGGAACGAGAGCACATGCCAACACACACACTTGTTCGTGGACGTGTTCACAACCACCCAAACTGCAAACAGCCAAACCTTCACCGAGGGCCCGGGAGAAACAAAGTGGGGTCCACCCACCCAAATGAAATACTCGCCTGCAGCAAACAGGAACCGAGCACCCATACACGCAAAAAACACAGATGAACCTCAAAAGATGACGTTCGGTGAAAGAAGCCAGACGCAAAAGACATGTATTTATTATAAGCCCATGTATATGACGTTTCTAGAAAAGGAGATACTCCCAGGGAGAGAAAGCTAGGGATGGGAGGGAGGGGTCGATTCACAACGGACCAGAGGGACACTTCCCGGTGATGCAAATGTTCCAAGATTCGGCTGTGGCGATGGTTGTGCAACTGGACAAATTTACCAAAGATCCTGGAACTGCGTAGGGTTTTGAAACGGGTTGACCTCACGGTAGGGAAAGGACACCGCGACAGCGCTGTAATAAATCATTTCGCCAGCAGAGGGCGCCAGAGACCACAAGTTCAACTCTGAACGGGCCTCGGGGTCAGGTCTAGCGGGGACCCACCTTCCCCTCTTCCCACCTCCTGGGGGCGAAGAACTGGACCCTCAGCGGGGCGTCCGTGGCCTCGCCCTGCCTTCGGGGTCTCATTAGGATGACTTCACTGGAAATAAGAATGGGCCACCTGGGGGTGTGCTGGGAAGCCTGCGGCAGCCCAATGCACCCAATGAACCAACCTTGGTCACTCTCGGTCCTACATGTACAGGAGCTGGCTGGTTGGGCAAGTCTCTCAACTCCGTGTCGGGAAGCGTTGATGCTGGGACCTCATCCAGGTCACATCTCCTCCCCAAGTCCCAGAGGAAGGCTCCTTTTGAGGCGAAGTGTAAATTGGGACAAAGGTGTGCTTTGGGATGGACGTGACAAAGGGCTACTTTGGACCCCGCAACTAAGACACAGACATCTGGGGAAAATAAGCACGAAAAAGGCCCATGGATGGATGCATGTGTTACCCACTGAGCCATCCTATCATCCACGCCTGCACACATAAACACACACACACACACACACACACACACACACGACAAAGAAGAATTAAGTGAAACAACAACAAAGCACCAAGTGGCCAGTAGGATTAGGGTCAAGGGAGACAGAGTGACAAGACGGGGACTTGCTGAGGTTTTCAAATCGACTTCTGCATGGCACAACACATTCGCTGGGAAGGGAGACAGAGAAGCTGAAAGCTGGACAGCTGCTCATCAGCCCCCCTAAAAGTGATCCAGCAAAGCTACCTCCAGATTCCTGACCACTAGAACCTGTGTGAGATGATAAATGCTTATCGTCTAAGCCACTAACTTTGGGGACAATTTGTTACACAGCAGTAGCTAACTAATACGTCTGGGTTTCTTTAGAAGTGAGAGCCAGGTCCAGGAGCTCCAAAAGGCCACTTCTGGAATGGATGCATGTTCCTCCAAGCTCGGGTCCACAGAGGGCCCCACCTAATGCTGTGACATGGGCAGCTCAATGGCAGGAACCTAATTTAGATCTGGGCATTACGGTGTCAGGGTTACAAGGGTATATCCCACAGCAAGATGACCAGAGTTCAAATATCAGCTTAGCCACTCAGTCACTCTGTGACCCTGGGGACGTGAGTTAACCTCTCTGGATTCATGGCAGATTGAGTTGAGGTCATACTGGAGTAGAGTGGCCCTAAATCCAATGACTGGTGTCCTATAAGAAGAGGGGAATTTGGACACAGACACACACCAGGAGAAGCCCATGTGAGGACCGATACAAAGATTGGAGGGATGTGTCTAGAGGCCAAGGGACACCAAGGAATGGTGGCCCCCCGAAACAGGAAGGACGGGAGGGATCCTCCCCTGGAGCCCCCAGAGGGAGCATAGCCCTGCCGACACCTGGGTTTTGGACTTCCGGCCTCCAGAACACGATGGAATAGATTTCTGTTGTTTGAAGCCACTGGGCATGGGGTCATTTGTGACAGTAGCCCCGGAAATGAATACGAGCCTCTCTCCACCAGATGGCAGAAGGCAGACTTTGATCAATTCTGGGTAATTCAATAAATTCACTTTTCCTGGGGCTAGGTCTAAGTTCAAGGGCATTCCAGTGGCCTCTGAGGCAGGGCAGCCGAGGGGCATCCTACCCTTCAGCGTCTATCACCCAGCGCAGCCACAGTCTTTGGAAGGTCCCTGTCCTTTCGCCTCATCCACTGACTGGACACCAGTGTCCTTCTACCTACAGGCTTTCTGCAGCTGTTCCTTCCCCTCCTTCACTCTCCCACAGGGCCACTGGCCTGTCCTGGGGCCGGGGGAGAGAATGGGGGCAGGGGACTGAAAGCGGTCACCCCCTCCCTGCTGCCACTTCCCCGTGGTCACGCCACAGCCCCCTCTGCACCCCAGGCTTTCCCTTGAGCCTTCTGCCTGGCCTACACCCAAACCAAGTAACCCTGGGCCTGGGGGGGGGGGGGCTGGGTCTGAGGTCACCAGGGCCTGCCAGGGAATTCCAAATCTTTGGAAATGCAAACCCTTCTTCCAGACCTGGGGCTTCCAAAGTCAACCACAACAACTCAAAAGCCAAGAAGGAAATCTTTGCTGCCTCCCCTCCGCTCTGCTGTGCGCTCAGCCCTCCCAGAGGGCTCAGGGACAGCTGCGTCCCTGCCGGCCAGACTGGGGGACATGGGGGACATTGAAAGGAAGGGCAGGGCCCGCCACCCGGGCTCCTACCCCACCCGCCTGCGGGCTTCCGAAGGAGAGAGTAGAATGGCTCCTTGTGAAATGCTTCTGACCTCTGCGTGGACCTAGACAGACCTGTCCTGTCCACTGGAACTTCCCGCCAGGATGGGAATGTTCTCGATTTGCACTGTCCCATGGGGATGGTCATCCCCAGCCACGTGTGGCTGCTGAGCGATTGACATGCGGACAGTGAGCTGAGGAACTGAGTTTTTAATTCTATTTCATTTTCATGTGTTTTAATTTAAATAGCCACAGGTACCCAGTGGGTACCGTGTGAGACAGACAGCCTTGGATAAACTGGTGTGCCCAGCAACCACGAGAGGAAGAGAGCCAAGCGCACAGACGGAGGCAAATTAGCAGGCTGGCCCATAAATAAAATACGCTTCAATTAAAGGCCAGTGGAGGGATCATGGGTGAAAACCTGGGTTTTTTTTGCGGTGCACACGTGGCAGCCCTCACTTTCCCCTCCATACACCAGCCACAAAGCCCAAGTTGTGTGTTTACATTATAACCTCGGGGGACAGTGCATCCCAAGATCTGAACCCCCAAGTGTGCCCCTTCCCATACAAAGCACAGCAAGGGCCAGCAGAGTGTCCTCTCCCTTCTGTGGATGCCAAGCCGGCATACCTACCGGGGTAGGCCCTGTGGCCGGTACAAGAATGTCTGAGAACCCCATCAGCAGTACGTGAATTTTAAACACAGCAGAACTTACAGTCACTGAGGTTACAACAAGATTAGTGCCAATTCAAACCACGTTTGGAGAAAAATTAAATAAGGAAGGGAGAAGGGGGTGGTGGTGCTGGAAGTTCATTTTTAAAAGGGATGAGGGAGGCCTGCGGAGGTGGGGAGCTCTGAGCAGACCGCGGAAGGAGGGAGCAAGCCAGTGGCTGTCAGGGGAGACTATTCCTGGTAGAGGAGGGAATGGTTAGTGCAAATGTCCTGGGGTGGGCAGGACCAGAGCACACCTCCAGTAGGCCTTGCAAACTGGGCCGGAGCACAGCTCTAGAATCCTACAACTCCTACAACCCCCACCCTTTATTCTTCTACCATCCCAGGCCTGGAATACCCACCACCCCTTCCTATCCTGGCCTTGAACCTGGACAAATTGTACCAGCTTCAAGGCCTCTGCAGTCCCTGCTTTTGGTTCTCAGATCCTGGGCTTGGGGGACAGTTGGGAAAATTCATCGACGGGATGAAAGGGAGCTGTTAAGTTTTCCCCATTAAAGGGGCTTGAAGCTTAGTTTGAACTGCGTTATTAATATTGAGGAAAATGTTATTAGCCCCTATCTAAGGATTGGAATGAGTCTGCCCTCATTCCCAGCCCCACCCCTAGCCCTAAGCCACTCTGGGGCACGGCTTAAAATGATCAGGCTTTTCACTAAACAATGCAGCTACACGCCATCCAGCCCCTATCCAGGTTGCACCCTCTGACCCCAAGCCCTTCTAAATATCCTTCCCCCACTTTGGACCCCAAACTGCCTGCGGCTCTGCACGCTGCCTTTCCTCATAGCGGTACCGCAAGGGTTAAGCGAAGGCGCCGGGCGTGCTGATTGACAGCCCGGCCGGCGGCTGTGGCGAGCTGGCCAATCAGCGATAGCGGCCGCGGCCCACGTGGGCAAGCGGCCTCACGATTGGCCAGTGCCTGCAGCGGCCGCCCGCGGAGTCCGAGCCCACGTGCAGCTGCTGCTCCTTCATTGATCGTCCTCGTGGTGCAGGTGGCGGCGGGGCGGGGCGGGGCCGGGGCGGGCAGGGGCGGGGCCGGGGCGGGCAGGGGCGGGGCCCGACGGGTCAAAGGGCCCCGGGAGGAGGGGAGATGAGGAGGGGTGTTCAATCAGGGCCTGAACTTGGTTGACCCTCCGCAGTTTCCTCCTTGCTGTCCCGGGACGCCGTCCTAAGGGAGGTGAGTAGGCAGGCGGGTCTCCTGGAGGACCCCGGCGTCCCCCCGGGCTGGGGAGGAGGCTGGAAGGCCGTTGAGGGGCAGAAGCGAAGCAAAGAAGGGGCTTAGTGCCGCCCGAGGGACTGGGGTGGAGAGAGGTCCCTTTCCTCCCGTCTGAGACATTCCTGCTAATTCACCTGGCCAACTCTTACTCATCCTTCAAAACCCCTTCCCAGTGATCTTCACCCATGCTTTAGGAAATTATCTCAAAACCAAGGTTGAATTTTAGCCTCCTTCCCTGGGGTCCCCCAGCGGTGACAGCTCCTGGCAGGGAGTGTGTAAGTGTTGGCACCATCTCCCCTCTACCTCCTGGAATGATGTCCCTGGGTGGAGCCCACTATTAGTTGGGGCAGCCGGAGGCACCAGAGTTTGACAAATGAACAGAGGATATAGGGAGTGCAGTGGGGTGCTGGAAGTCAGGGAGGGGCCTGGGGATCCGGGACGGGGTCCTGGAGGGGAGGCCGGGGGTGGGGTGGGGTTGGCTCTGTCCCTGGTTGCTGGGCCTTCTGCCCTCAGGACCTGCCATCTCTCCTCATTATTTTAGCATCTCTGGATAAAGTCCTTGGGCCTCCTGCCTGAAGATGACCTCTTGGGGCCATCTCAGCCCCCAGAAGCGCCCTCCAAGGATGAGGAGGGCCCCAGAAACTTTGGTGAGGAGGGCATTAACGCCTGTGGGTAGAGGGAAGAGCCCGGAAGCTGGGCTCAGACCTCGCTGTGCTGCTCCTGATGGAGGGACACGGGCAGGTGGCCAGGCCTTTTGGCTGGGGGCTCCAACCCATCAAACCTACCGACAGGTGCCAAGGCACTTTCTTTTTAAATTAAACTTGCTTCTCATCACCCAGGTGATAAAACACATGACTACATCATCCCTGGTTAACATTTTACAGGCAGAAGCCCCCCTCCTCCAGAGTTGACCCTTTTCAATAGTTGAGGCCGGGGTGGGCAAACTTTCTCTCTCAAGGGCTCTCCAGAGAGTCCGTATTTGAGACCTTAGGCCAGGAGGCAAATTGGAAGATACTCTGTGGGGACTTAAGTAATCAGAGAGAGCAAATTCCCTTCAGGTTTCAGGAGGTCCCAGCCCACCCCCTGGGGGGCTGATTGGAGACAGGGCCTGAGGGTGGGAGAGCGGGAGGCTGGGGTTATCTACAGTCTCCTGTGACTTTCCCAGGCTCCTTCTGAACTGAACTATCGGGGTGTCCTGGATCAGCTCCGGCAAGAGTTCCCCAGGTGAGGGCAACTCTCAGGGGCTGGAGGTCCCGCTGTGGCCCACGGAGGGAGGGAGAGCCTTCCCTCTGGTCTCTTGGGGGGCCCAGGAACCCCTGGCCCAGAAGACAGAACTAGGAATGAGGGAGCCTGAAGCAAAAGGAAAACCACTGGTACCAATCCTGGCCTTCATTTAAAATTTTCGAGTTGCCCTTGTTTAGCGTGAATTTACTTGCATCGATTATATGTTTAAAAACACTGCACTAAAATGGCATCTCTGACGCTGCCTTGGGGTGGCTCCTTGGAGTGGGGGGCCCTGGCCAGGCGGGGGCGGGGCTGGTTCTGGGGAGGGGTCTTGAGGGCTCTGTGCGGTTTCCTTCCCCTCAGGTTCCCCCCTCACCTGACGGCGCAGGTGGAGAGCGTGTACTCGGCGGTGAGCCACACCAGGCAGCCCTGGGCAGCCCCCAGACAGCCTGCAGGGGCTGTTGCCTTTGGCCTCAGGAGCTGGGTTTGGGGACACTTTCTCCTCCACTTGTTTCTGCTTCCTTTGGGCGAGCGAGGTCACCCGTGCAGGCCAGCTTCTTCAAGAGCATTCTTCCTCATGAGCACTAACCTTGCTGCAAAAGTTAGAAATTCCGTATTTACAGGAAGCGTTTCTGTGGCTGACAGCTCATTGTTGAGGGATGGGTAACAGGAGTCCCTGCTCGTGAGGAGCGTAGGTGCTAGTGCCGTGCTGTCTTCTAGAACTTGCTGCAGTGATGGGAATGTTCTATAGCAACAGTGCCCGATATGGCACCCGCCAGCCACAGGTGGCTATTGAGAGCTTGTGAGGAAATGAATTTTTAACTTAATTAAATTTAAATAGCCACAGCTGACTAGTGGCTAGCTCCATGGACAGGGCACCCCTAGGGGGAAGAGAATGACAAGTAAGTAGAGAAATGGGATTCACAAAATGTGAACACTATAAAGAAGATGGTGGGGTTGACATGAGTGAAGATTTTGCACTAAGATAGTCAGGAAAAGCTTCTTGGAAGAAGTGATGTTCACGGGGAGAAAGGGAAGATACTGAGGTTCTACCTTCCCTGAGAGAGCAAGGAAGGGCATTCTGGGCAGAGGGCACGGCCTGTGCAAAGGCCCTGGGGCAGGACTGGGCTTGGTGTGTTGGAGGAATGAGTGAGGAAGCCCTTGTGGTTGGAGCAGAGGGAGGAGAGGAGGGAATGGATGGGGGCGGGTGTGCAGGGCCTTGTGATTATGGGGAGGCTTTGAACTCCACATCAAGAATGAAATCCAAGGGCCTCCCTAGTTAGCTTCCACTCTGTGTGGTAGGTGGTATCCCCTTTGAATGTAGGGACCAGAGAGGTCGAGCAGCTTGTCTGGGGCCACACAGTTGGGGAGAAGCATGCACAGCACTTGACTCCTCACTGTTGTCCACCTCGGTCAGCCACCTCCCAGTGTGATCCCTGCTGTTCTCTTGCAGCTCCAGAAGATCCGGCAGGGTCTCCAGGAACATCACAAGCGGGTGAGTGAGTAACCAGGAGCTGGGGTATGGCCGCCCCTCCTTGAAAGGCAGGAAAATACAGGGAGAGAGGCCATGACAGGGCCAGGTGGTGGTGGCCCTGTGGGGATGGGGCGGGGGGGGCTTTTATCTGAAGGAGGTGGGAGCCCTGGAGGGGTGTGGGCAGAGGGGGGCAGGACCTGACCTGGGATCTCCCAGCGATCAGTGGATTCCCCCCCCCCCGAACACACACACGCACACGCACACGCACACCCCCACCCCTTCCGGGTGCGTCTCCCACCCTCTCGGAGGCTCTTCCTTCCTGGCCCGCTCCCAGGTCCCTGCATGGCTCACATGAGGCCAGGGGCCTTTCCAGCACGTTGCAGGTCAGTTGCTTCCGCTATGAAGGGCCTGTTATGTGCCAGGCGCACCCGGATTCCGGCCTTCCATGTGTCTGAGCGTTCTCGGGGGCCTGGATCACACGTGAGCGGGGGGGGGCGGGGGGGCAGGTCTGCACAGGGGGCCCAGGCTCCCAGCACAGGGCGCCTTGCCCACGCTGAAGCACGTCTTCCACTCCCGCCACCTGGCCCCTTTCTCCTGGGTGCTGGCAGGATTCTCTGCCTGTACCAGATGTGAGTGGCAGAAGGCCAGGGCCGTGTCTGCAACTCAGCAGGGCCCAGGGTGGGCAGTGCAGGGAACCGGGAGAGACGGATCCAGAGTGAGGGGGGCCAGGAAGCAGCCAGAACACGGTTATTCATTCAACAGATATTTATCCATCACCTTCTTGCCAAGTGCTGTTGTAGGTGCCAGGGAAATTGCAAAGAAGGACACAGACAAATCTCTGCCCTTGGGGTGATGGGAGCTTAGTAAACAGAAGTGTCCAATGGTGAGGGCTGGGCAAGGTGCAGGGATGGATTAGAGCAGCCCAAGGGGACACGCGGGAAGGGGTGGGAGTGGCAAGGCTTGCTGAGAAGGTGACATTTGAGCAAACTCTTGAAGGAGATCAGAGAGGGAGTGCAGCTGTTCGGGGTGGGAGGAACAGAGGGCACAGCCCATGCAAAGGTCCTGGGGCAAGACCGTGCCTGGTGTGTTGGAGGGACAGAGAGGAGACCCCTGTGGTTGGAGCAGTGAGGAGGGGAGGGCAAGGAGGGGACAGGGCAGGTCCTGTGGCATCTTGGGGGCCCTGGAGAGGACTTGGGCTGAAGTGGGAGCCCTGGAGGGCTGTGGGCAGAGGGAGGCGGAACCTGAGTTGTGCTCACGGGCGCCCTCTGGAGGAGAGACTCTGGGCGCAGGGCAGGAGAACAGGACCATCTGGGTGAGGTGTGGTGGGGAGAACCGATCAGATTGTGGATTCAGGGGTGATCCCAACATAAGGATGTGAGGGGGGGGGTCTTGCCCCAGAGAGTTGCTGTTCACTCCAGGGGCCTTGCTGGCCCTGGAGTCCCGCCGAGACTCCCCGCTGTCCTCTCCCCTCTGGGCTCCCGGTTTTCCCAGCCTCCCTGCTGTGCATTGAAAATCCCCCCGCAGTGGCCGCCGCCCCGCCAGCGCTGCGCTCTCCCCAGGGAGGGCCAGCTAGCAGGCAGGAGGGAGCAGCGCTTTTCATGCTGAGTGCATTCAAGTGCCAGTAAATTGCGCATTAACGAGCCGGGGCGAATTGGGGAAGGCTCCCCTGGGTCTGTGCTGCTGGGAGGCCCAGCTGGGGAACCCATCACCGGCTGCCGCAGGAGGTGTGGGCTCAGAGAGGGGGGTTCCTGCTGCCCGACCCCTCCCTCGCCATTCTGCCTGCCTGACCCGGCGGCCTGCGGTTGGAAGCAGGTAAACACTGCCTGGCCCCTGTTCCTCCTGATTTGGGGAAATTGGCTTTGCTTCTCTGGGCCTCTGTTTTCTCATCTGCAAAATGGAAATGCCAGGAGCTCCTGGGAGCTAGGACCGGCTGCAGTTGGCACGGACGCTACATTGCTTTATTCCTTCTTTCTTTGTGAATCAGGATGTTTTTCCCAGGATTGGGGAGTTTGCGTTGGGCCAGAGCACTCTGGGGAGCTTCTTGGGGTCCACCACGGAGGGGCGTGCATCAATCACTGCTTGGGGCGCGCAGACCAAAGACCAGACCTGGGCTGTCTTCTCTGGTGGCTACGGGACACGTGTGGTTATTTAAACTGAAGTTGACCTTAAAACAAGTGGCACTAGCCACGTTTCAAGTGCTCAACAGCCACGTGAAGCTAGCAGCTACTGCATTATACAGGCAGGCCTAGAACATTCCTGCTGTCACTAAATATAGCTGCACACATGCACGTTCCCATAGAGCTCCTCATCAGCCCCAGAAGCTGGGTCTCCCCATTCTGAATTTCTGGGGACACTGGCCAGGAGGCTCCCGTCTCGCCGGGTCTACCCTCAGCCTGGACGCCGGGCACGCACTAGGGACCCCTGTTCTTGGCACCTGTGCCATCCACGTTGGCGGCCACTAGCCCAATGTGGCTGTTGAGCACTTGAGTGGGACTGGAGAAATTGCATTTTTCACTGGACTTCGCTTTATATTTAATAGCCATCTGTGGCTGGTCGCTGTGTCTCGAGACAGGAGTATGTGTCCTAAAAAGACAGGCAGATGCCTGTTGGTTAGGTAGAAGAAGGGAACTTAGATCTCTCAGGCCCTTCCAGGCCCATAGAAACTGTTCACTTCGATTTGGAATTGCTGGTAGTCACGTGGCCTGGTTTTTAAGTATAAAATAAAGGACCGTGACCTTCCCACGGGGGTCCCGTGTTGTCCTGCTGCCCGCCCTCCTCCCTAAGAGGTGATCACTGGTTTCTGAGCACCCTCCCAACACTTAAGCAAATTCAGATGCCCCCACCCAGAGGAACAGAGGTACCCATGAATTTCCTTCTTGAAGCCGTTTTAAGCAGGGTGGTGTTGAGGCTTTAGTTTTCTTTCTTTTTTTAAATTTTTTTAAAGATTTTATTTATTTGAGAGAGAACATGAGCAGAGGGGAGGGGCAGAAGGAGAGGGAGAAGCAGACTCCCCGCTAAGCAGGGAGCCAGATAGGGGGCTTGATCCCAGGACCCTGAGATCATGACCTGAGCCGAAGGCAGATGCTTAACGAACTGAGCCCCCCCAGGCGCCTGTGGCTCTAGTTTTCAAACCTCCTGAGAAAAGCAACTGGGAGGGGAACCCAGATTGGACCCTACTTTCTACCACTTGATGCTGATGATCAGCCTTCAGGGTTGGGCTGCGGAGTTCTGGGTACGAAGAACTTGCTTTGTGCTCTGTGTAGTGGGGAGGGCTCTGCATTATCACGAATCCACCCCAAAACCTTCAAAGCAGGCTGTGTATCCCCATTTCACACACTGGGAAGCCGGCTTGCGGGAGGAGGTCTGCACCCAGGCTGTCTGATGACAAAGGCTGAGCTGGGATGTGTCCTCTCCCCCCGCAACCCCCGCCCCCGCCCCCACCCTCCCCGTCTAGGCAGAGAACTTCCTGCGGACCATGGAGACCTGGAGCCGACCGCTGGGCTTCCAGCCTGGGGAGGTGGGTGCCTGGGCCCTGGAGGAGGGAGGGGACCAGCTCAGAGCTGCCCCTCACACCCCTGGGCTTTGCAGTACAGATGAGCCTGGGCACCTCTGGGGAGCAGGCCGACCCGGACTCCTGGGGGCCGACCAGCCCCGAGGCTTCCCCGCACCCGGTGGCCGAGACCCCACAGCCCCCCGGGTTCCAGGGGCCACCCTTCGAAGATGTCCTGGCTGCAAGGTCCTCCGACTGGCTCCGGCAGCCCTGCAGAACCGACACCGCCCCCATCTCCCAGCCGGACACACAGCCCACCTGGGACTCTGAGCCCCGGTTTTGGCAGGATGTTCTGACCGAGCAACTCTGGCAGATCTTTGCGGGGACCCACAAGAAGGACCAGCTGCGACGCAGGAGTGAGTCCCCCTGGGGGTGGGGGATGGGGGTGGCCTGGGGCTGTGTCCGGCGACAGCGCCCAGGAACAACACTGTTGAATCCTGTTGTTCTACTGGTTCCCCCTCGGTTGTACCAGTGACGGAGCGGGCGCCAGGCCTGGTGAGTCACTCCGCGGCACCTGGAGGGGTGGGCCCTCAGGCCGGGTTGTCCGGCTTCCTGTGGAGTCAGTCCATGGCTTCCGTCCTCAGCCCCAGATTCCCTTAGAGGACTCGGGCCTGGGGACTTGGGGCTGTTGACGAGTTTGTCTACACTGCCTGGGCCTCCCCAACATTTTCTGGGTCTAAGACCGACCCTGGGCAGGTCCTTTGGTCTGACCTGATCGCCCCGATTCCCGTGGGCAGGAGAGCCAGGACCCAGGACCTCATGACTTGGGACTGGAACCAAGCAAAAACACTTCGGGTAATCCCGGTGAGGGGGGCGGGGGGGGGGGAGCCCGCCCCGAGGAGCCCACACCTGCCACTCATCTGTCTCACCTCCAACCAGTGCCCAGCCCACCCGCGCCCTCCCCCAGCTCCCCCGAGGGCTCCCAAGGGAGTGCAGAGCCAGGCCCGGACGCAGAGGGGATGCTCTCCCCCGATGTGGCCCAGGTGAGGCCCCATCCTCAGTGTCCGCCTCCATGAAGGCTGAGAGGGCTGGGGCAAAGGGAGCTGACATGGCTTCGCGTGGTCCTGGTCCCATCACAGGAACCTGCTGGGAGAGCCTATCCATTCCTGAAGCCCATGTAAGTCTCTATGTTGTCCCTCTTGTCTGTACTTCTGTCCCTGGCAGAGAGGGGACTGGAGGTGCAGCTGTGTCTTCCCCTCCCCCACGATCCTGCTACTGTGCTCAATACCCACAGCTGAGGGGACTGGGTAGTTACCATCAGGCTAGCATCACTGTCCCTCCCCACATAACTAGCTCTGGGTTCCAGGGATTTGGGGAAAGAACTCCCATGGAGAGGTGTTAGAGCTAGATACACACAGTCCCAAGCTTGTGGTCGGAGGCTGGGGGAGCCCAGAGGGGGACGAGAAGGCTTTCCCGGAGGGAAGGGGCATAATGGTTAGGATTTTGATGGATGAGTAGGAGTTTGCTAGGATGGGGCAAAGCATTCTAGGGGGAGGGGAGTGATGTTTGGTTCTAGGAGAGGGAGAATGTACTGGAAAGGGCATGGGCAGCCCCTTGGGGGGAGCCCGTGTAGTGGGGAAACCAGGCCTGAGCGAGAACCCCCACATCTGAAGAAGAATGAAGCTCCTCAGGCTTGAGGGGGGCCCCCTGCGGGCAGAGAGGCTCCCAGGTAGGCCGGTAACCCTGAGGCCTCCCCTTCCAAGAGGCTGGGACCCTGAGGACTTTGAAGACATGTGCAAGAGACCAGATGCCTTGCCCTGGCAATCCAAGAAGGCGGCCATCCCCCATGGAGCGGAGAAGGTGCGGACGCTAAAGCACGGGGAGCCGGTGCTGGCCACGGCCGTCAGCAGCTTCACGCGACACGCGTTCACCTGTGGCCGGGGCGGCGTCAAAGTGTGGAGCCTGGTGGGCCAGGGGCTAGAGGACCACTATCCTGAGAGCCACCTGCGTGTACAGGTCGGGGAGGGGCTGGCTCTGGGGGCGGGGCTCGTGGGAGCAGAGCTCCTGCAGCGGAGGACGTTCAGCTGCATCTGCGCCCGCCCCAGACCCACCAGGCCTACCTGCGCACCTGCCTGCTGGCCCCGACCAGCACGACCCTGCTGACGGGCGGCCATAACCTGGCCAGTGTGAGCGTGTGGGACCTGACTGCGCCCTCCCTACGTGTGAGTGATGAGCTGCCCTGTGCAGGCCTCACCTGCCAGGCCCTGGCCTTCGGCCCCGAGGACACCCTGGCCTTCGCTGGCTTCACGGACGGCACAGTCAGGATCTGGGACCTGCGGGACCAGAGCGTTGTCAGGTGAGGCCCAGGGCTGGGTGGGCTCATCCTGAAAGCCCCTTCCCACCTCAGGCCCTGAGCAGGGATCCAGCAGTCCCAAAGGCTAAGAGCCCCTTGGCTGCTTACATTTGCATTTGAGAGTGTCGGGGGCCTGAGTTCAGATTCTGACTGGGTTTCTTCAAAGCCCAGTCATGGTACTTGTTGTCAGCCTCAGTTTCCCCATCTGTCACCTGGGTGTGATTGCATGGGTGGTATTCCTGGGGCTTGGGCTCAGAGTCTCAGCCCCAACCCCTTCCGCATACCCCTTCTGGTCAGGGACCTGCAGGGTGCCCCAAATGGAGCCAAGAGCATTGCTATCAAAGACCAGAACATCTGGGCGGGAGGCCTGGATACCTGCCTGCGGTGCTGGGACCTGAGGACCCCCGGGGAGCCCCTGGAATACCAATTCGAGTCTCAGGTGTGTGGGCTGGGATGGGCCTTGGGCTAGAGAAGGTGGATGTTGCAGTGGGGGGGGGGAGGGGGTAGTAGGACCCCACATCTGATCGGTGCTGGCAGGAATAGGGTCATGAGAAATGTCCTCTCCCCCCACCCCACTGGGGCCCGATAACATTGGACCCTCTCGTATTCTGTATCGGGTGCCCATGCCCCATTTAGTCCCTTAAGGTAAAGAGGACCAACCCACTTGACAGATGAGCAGACAGGTCCAGAGGTGTGAGGTTGCTTGTCAGGGCCTCGAAGCCAGGAAGCCGGAAGGAGGTCAGCCCCCAGGGTGGGTCCCTGTGCCCGTGACCACCTCTCAGGCCCGGCTGGGGCCTGACTGGCCTCTCCCCTGCCACCCACTCCCCAGATAATGGGCCTATCCCCCAGTCCCCAGGAGGATTGGGTGCTGGTGGGCACAGCCAATGGCCAACAGTGGCTGCAGCCCACCCGAGGGGGCCAGAAGCACCCGGTGGGGTGTAAGGACAGCACCATCCTGGGTCTCAAGTTCTCTCCGCTCGGTGAGTGGCCAGGAGGGGGTGGGGCAGTCCCCTGTGGCCCCCAGCCTCCCACATCACCCTTCATCAGCAGAAACCTCTCAGTGATGGTGTCCGTGGGGGGCTACCTCTGTGCCCCAGGTCCCCATGGGCCCTGCCCTCAGCCGCCAGACTTCCCACCACCCGGTCTCCTCCTCCCCATCCCAGGCCAGTGGTGGGTGAGTGTTGGGATGGACAACCTGGTCAGCATCTACGGCATGCCCGCGGGGACCATGGTGTTCCAGGTACCACTGCGGGCCAGGCGCGGGGTGGCGGGGGCAGTGCTCGGCCCCGGGTGCTGAGTGCAGGGGTCCTGAGAGGGACCAGGCTTGAACTGACAGGCAGAGGGCAGGGGTAGGGGTGGGTGAGCCCCCTTGGCTCATGCTGGCCTTCCACCTTCCCAGGTGCCTGAGACCTCCCCCATCCTGTGCTGTGATGTGTCCCCCAACAACCGCCTGGTCATCACAGGGTCCAAGGACCACGCCTCCGTGTACCAGATCACCTACTGAGGGGCTTGGCGTGGTCGTGCTGACTCAGGATCATTTTTTTCTTCTTTGCCCTTTTCCCTCAACCAGGTGGAGGCTTTGTGGTGGGTGGGCCGGGTTTCTTTGCCATTGCACATGTATTAAAGCAATTGGAAAAAAGCAGAGTGGGTGTGTCCTTTGCTGTCCGCCGCCTGTCTCGTAGAACTTGGACCAGCTGGGTCTCCCAGCCTGGAGTCCACAAGCCCTGAGAATCTCCTCAAAGCCACTGACCCCCTGTTGGGAGTGGGGGTGGATAGGGACGCCTTCCTCCTGTCCCTTCATCTCCCAGAGAGGGGGTTTCCCAGCCAGGGATGGGTTCCCCCACCCTTCCCAAGACACCCTGGTGCATCTCACCTGAGGATGAACCCAACCGCCAGCGGGGCACATGGCAACATCTGTGGACATTAGTGGTCATCATGACCTTGGGGGGGTATGCCTGGCGTCAAGCGCGTGGGGGCCAGGGATGTCACTCGCCCCCCCCCCCACTGCCCGGGACGCCCCCACAGAGAGTGATGGGTCCCAGTGCCTGGAGGGGAAAGGGTAGTCGACAGCAATCGCTCGTTGGCTGGCTTCTCATCCGCCCTCTTCGTGCCTGGGGGCTCTCACGACAGCTTCGCTCACCCTGTCCCTCCAGCATAAGCGTCCCAGAAGGTGCCGACCTGTCTGCTTTCCTTACCCAAAGAATTATCCTCGCCCCAAAAAGTGCCTCCAAAACTCCAGCTGGGTCTGACCTGTTTCCCCAAGGGGCCCCGCCATCTCCGTCCAAGAGGTTCCCAGCAGCACCCCGGCTTCACCCCCAGCCCCTCCACAGCGGCCCCCGGGAGCTTACAGAACGCCGACCTGATTATATGGCCCCGCCCCCGGGCTGCCCCCCCCCCAGGCTGACTCCCCTCCCACCCCGCCCCCGGGTTTGCTCCACTCCCACTCCCACCCCGTCCCCAGGCTGGCCCCGCCCCCGGGCTGGCCCACTTCCCGTAGGCTCTCTGCCTGCCTGGTTTCCACCTGGCCTCGCCCCTCACCTCCGAGTCTCTGCACATGCTGTTCCCTCTGTACCCACAGTCTTGCATGACACACACACACACACACGAAATGGCTGTTTCTCCTTGTCAGCTCTCAGTTTACCGTCCCCTCCTCTGGGACTGTAGTGTTTGCTCAGCACCTTAGGGTGGGCAATGTGTCGTCATGCACCAGGAATTATCCGTGGGTCAAAGGCAAGCACCCCAAAGAGCTATGTGTGCCACTATATTCCCCAACCCATTGTACGTGGGCAGCGTCTTGGGATGATTCTGTCCAAAGGGCTGGCAGTAAAAGAGACCCAGGCAGCTCTGGGGCCAGAGCACCAAGGGCCTGTGTGACTTCCTCGCCCCTGCGATGTTGGACCCTGAAGCTACATGTTGTGATGGCAGAAACTCCACCATCCTGGAGCCCCGAGTGTCTGCCGGGAGCCGAGCCCCACCAGGCAGGTGGACACAGGTGAGGGATCAGTGTCTGGTGTGTTCAGCCACTGAGGTCCGCGGGCGCCTGGTGACGTGGGTCACTTAAGCCATGCTGCCCTGTACCACACCTGCCGCTTGCGGCCAACCCGGCGCTCGTTCATGCAGGACGAACCCCGTCGTCGTCCAGAAAAGGCATAGGAGGCTGACAGAAGGAAAGCCACTTGCCCACAGCTACACAGCCCTCCCGCAGTAACGGTGCCCAAGAAAAGCAACAGTCCTGGTTCTCCAGCCCAGGACAGAAAGGCAGTTGCAATAAATACATTTATTTCCCCAAAGTCCACCTGCCCGTCCAGCCCCATGTCCAGCAAGGGAAGATGGGAGGGAGTCAGCCAGAGGGCAGACGAGACTTAGCACTCACAGGTATGAACGGAGAGGGGGGTGTCGGGGTCTCTGTCCGGGATGCCCCTCCCCTAGGAGCCGGGCCAAGGGTGCAGGAAGATGGGGGTTCTCAGTAGACCACCTCGTACACGGTGGCCTTCTTGTCCCCTGAGCCTGTCACAATGTACTTATTATTTCCGGAGATGTCACAGCTCAGCACGGAGGATGATTCCTTGGACTATGGACAGGGGTGGGGGGAGGGAGAGAAGGGGGAGGTGAGACAGGGCCTTGCACAACGTTCAGAGGTTCAGAGGGAAGAGGCAGGGCGACTGGGGGAGTGCCTGCCCCCAAGGATGAGCCTGTGATCAAGGCTGGGGCCGAGACAGGACTCGGGATAGGGGAGCACGCGGTGGGGGGCCAGGACTCTCCCAGTCGGGGGGGCACCTGATGGGAGGAAGGACGGTGACACATTTTTCCAGAGGAAGGTCTGCTGGAATCAAGCCTCTGGACAGTGACAGTGCTCCTGGGAAGGGCAGGACCTCTGTGCTCCTGACACCAAGAGGAACGGAACTGAAGCCCTGCCCTTTCGTAAGCAGCTCAGAGTGTGCCATAGGCATGAGGCCACACAGCACAGCGGAGGGCTAGCTAAGGCTACTGCACAACGACCTACAGCAGCAAATCTTTCCTGTAAAGGGCCCAGCGAGAAGTTCTCCGGCTTTGCCAAAGGCCCAGATAAGTCTCAAGCCAACAAGTCCAGCGGCCAAATAAATCTATGTCACATGATTCTCCTTTTGTTTTCCTGCCCTTAAAAAATGTAGACATCCCCCCACGCCCACTAGGATGGCTATGACCAAAAAACACACAGTAAGAAGTGTCGGTGAGGATGGGGAGACTTTTGAACCCGCGTGCGCTGCTGGTGGGGTGGAGAATTGGGAAAACAGTCTGGTAGTTTGTCCCAAGGTTACACGGTTATCAGCAATTCCACTCCGAGACATCTGCCCAAGAGAGATGAACACGTGCCCACAGCAGCAGGATTCACAGCGGCCAAAACGTGGAAGCAACCCACGTTTCCATCGACAGGTAGATGGGTAAGCACAATGCAGCCCATCTACACTAGAGGACATGATCCAGTCTTAGAAAGGAAGGGACCCTGACACCTGCCACGACTCGGAGGGACCCCGAGGACACCGGGCTCAGTGAGAGGAGCCAGACCCGGAAGGACACATCCCGCAGGAGGACCCCACTCCCAGGAGGTCCCCAGAGGAGTCCCGTCCACACAGACAGAGAGGAGAGGGTGGGAGCCGGGGCTGGGGCAGGGGGTGGGGAGTCCGTGCTTCGTGGGGACAGAGTCTCCATGTGGGGAGATGGGACATTCTGGAGACAGAGGGTGGGGGTGGTCGCAGGACAGGGTGAGTATGCCTCATGCCACGGAATGGTATACTTAAAAATGGCTAAGATGGTAAATTTTATATGTCTTTAAAAAGTTAAATACACACACACACACACAAAGAACCCAGGCTGCAGGCAGATACAGCCTTCGGGCCACAGTGTGCAGACCCTGCTTTTGTAGCTTGCTGGCTGGGGTGGGGGGGCACCTGGAGGACCCCGGGGAAGTTCCACGATTTACCCACCAGTGCAGCCACCCTGGGGCCCCTGGACGCACGGCATCCCGCCCTGCCCTGCCGTACCTGGAAAATGCTGGCTCCATACGGTGTCCTCCAGGCATTGAGCAGGTTGTCTTTCCCGGTGCTCACAAACCAGCGCCCTGGGGAAGGGGGGGCGGGGGAGTTCTAGGAGGGAGGAACTGAAGATGGGGTGGGGGGTGGCCTCTCCCTTCCTGGCACCTCTGCTCTCACAAGGGAAACACTGGGCCCGAGGGGGCTCCATCTGGACTTCGAGAAGGGGGAGTCCCCAGGAGAGGGTTGCCAGATAAAATCTGGGATGTCCGGTTACCTTTGAATCTCAGAAAAACCACAAGTCACTTTTAGTACAGATGCACCATGAGTGTTTCATGATTTATTATTAATTTTTAGTATATGGGTGTGTCCCGTGCAATACTTGGGACATACTTATACTAAAAATTGTTGGGGTCTTTTTTTTTTTAAGTGTTAGTATATCTCATGCACTATTTGGGATATATTTGCATGAACAAATGAGTGGCTTTTAGTGTAAGTATGTCCCAATGCGATACTTGGGAAAAACTTACACTAACAAAGGATCTGCTAAGATTCAAATTCCACCGGGCATGCCGTATTCTGTCGTGTGGGTTGTTTGTGGTGTGCTGTGTTTTGGCAGCCCCATCCCAGCGCCCTGGAGCCCTGCCCAGCCCGAAGACCCACCGCAGGAGGCGAATTTGAGGGCGAGCACACAGCTCTCATGAAGGTGCAGCTGGTATTTCTCGGGCTTGCGGACGTGCAGAACCTCCACATTGCTGCTCTCCATGCCGACCGCCAGCCAGTCCTGGTTGGGGCAGTGGCCCAGGGAGAAGATCTGGGGGGTGCAGAGGGAAGAGGGGAGATCAGAACCCCGTTCAGAGGATGCTTGGCGGGGGGGGGGGGGGAGGGGAGAGGCCCAGCGTTCTCCCCGCGGCAGCCCCGCAAGAAGAGGCAGCTGGCCCAGGGCCTGGAACACAGCAGGCAACTGCATGTCGAATCATTAATATTAATCAGAATTACACGGAACCCTGGGGCCTCACATCCATTATCCGCTCTGAACGCACAACAGCTCTGGGAGGGAGGGAAGCAGGGAGAGCGTGAAGCTGGGTGAGGACAGTCACACACACACACACACACACACACACACACACACCCGTGAGCAGATGGTGGAAGGCAAGCTGAGACCCTGGCTCACTCAAGGTCACGGATCCGTGAAGGATCGGGCCTTCGGACTCCCAGCTTGGAGCTCTCCCCGCTTGCCAACGCCTCCTCTGACTTTGATCTGAAAGGGCTCAGTGGCCTCAGCGTGCCGTGCCCCAGCCCGAGGGAGGCACAGTTCCACCCGAAACTTCCCAAAGTCTTACTGCCAGGACACGTGTGGAAAGAACCATAAATTGAGAGCAGAGAGAAGACTAGGAGGTTTTACATGTTCTCCCCTTGGCCATACAAAAGTGTTCCCGTATAAAGACAGGCGGCCCAGCGGGATGGGAGATACTCACCATGGGATCCCCAGAGAACAACCCATCTAAGTCTCAGGGACAAGGGACCGACAACTATATCCACCTGCACCCCTGACT